CATACTAGCGAGGGTAGTACTGTATTAATAAAGTTATTTTATCAGTGGCTCTTCTGGAACCTCCATGGGGGGTAAAGGGTTAAATTAACGATATCACCTCTTTCTAGAGAATGACTTATTAAAAAAGTTTGAAGTTTTCAAAGGTAAGTAGATTGTGATGAGTACAGCAAAAGTTTTCGTAGGCTCAAAATTCCTGGATATTATCTTCTATAAGATAATGCAATCACAAATGCCTAATTTTTGCTTTCGCGTCTCTGATATGCTATGTTCAATTGAGCTGAAATTTTGTTTTTACGACACTGTTTGGGTTGGACATCTTTTTAGGTTTTGTCCTTCAAATAAAAATATCGAAGGTATTCTAAAAAACGCATGTTGTTTTGAATAGAGAGCTACCAAGAATCACTAGAACAGTATTTTTTTGAAACCAAAAAAGAAAGAGTCTCTATTCCAAAACAAGAAAGTATAATATATTTGAAAAAAGAATTTAGCATAATACTTCTTCATATTTTATTCAATTGTTATGAGTTAGTCGATGAAAGGGAATTTAACGTGAGAGAAATTTCGAAAATCTTACTGATAAATTTGATGTTTTGTCATCTTGTTCGTCTATTTTTAAAGCAGATTTTGGCTTTCGACCTCGTTTCTTCTTCATTGGTTGTAAATCTACCTGGTTACCATTATCCGATTGTATTATTTCGTTTTGAATCTGAACTGATGGTTGAGAAGATTTTTCTACTGTATTTATTACATCAGGTAATTCAGAAGAAAGTGATGATACTAAACGTATTCGCTTAGGATGTTTATTTGATATTGTCTAAAAGAGAAATTTTTATAAATTTAATTTCAAAAAAATCATAAATTTACTTCTAAATCATCATTTTTATCAACAGAAACTTTTCGACGAAGTATATCTAGCGTATTAAATATATAGAAAAAAATGATTATTTATATAAAATTTTCTATACCATTCTTTGATTTTTTTTTATTAACTTTAACATCGTTTAATAAAACACTGAATTGTTTAATTCGATCATCTTTTGTCATTGTTAATGCATGATCTGCTAATTCAATAGCTTCATCCCTGAAATTAATTCTTAGAAAAAAATCATATATAAATTAGATATAAAATATTCTACCATTGTACACGTTTTTTCATTGAAACTTTTAATTGATATCGATTAGCTAATTCTAATTTTTCTGATTTTGTTGAAGCCTAACTATGAAAAATTATTTAATATGAATGTTTAAAAAAAAAAACAATAATAGATCTACTTGTCGAACGGCTGTTTCAGCATTTTGAATAAAATTATTTAAGCCAGCATATTTTAGCAATGAACGAGTTGATAACCATGAATATTCAAGATATTTTCCATAGAAATAAACAAAAAATTGTCGTTTTGTTTTATTATTTGAATCTATAAAGAAAATTTAAATTAAGTTTTCTTTCTTTTTTAAGGGCACCCCCCCTTTCCAGAGCCAAAAAATTTTTTTTTCGATTCTTTTTTTTGTTTTCGTGTAAAGGTGTATCAAGGTCCCCTCTATGTGTGCTATAAAAATCAGAACCATCAAAGGTCTGGAAGTCTCTGAAAAACCAGGTTTTTTGGAGACCTATGCATTAAAAAAAAAAATTTTTTGTTTTTTTAACATAAAGTTATATTATGATATGGTATACCTATACTTACGTATAAGCGGAAAAAAAATTCTTCTACAAGTTTTTTTTATTTTGCATTTTTCTCGAAACTAGTTTTTTGGGTA